AGGGCCTCTCTTTCCCCTTCACTAAACCCTTTCAACTTCGGATTTAGCCGAAAGCCCCCCCCTCCCGACACCAGAGGGCGCAGGGGGCCCCCCAGGGGCCCCCCTCCCCCACAGAAGGGGCCTCGGGGGGCCCCAGGTCTTCGTAACGCACGAAGACGTCCCCAGGAAAGCCCGCGAGGGCCATCAAGAGGTCGTGCAGCATTTGGGGGAGTTGAGGTGTACAGACACCGGAAATGAGGTGTACAGACACCTGAAAAGGGTGCGCAGGGGGCCCCCGGCCAGCCAGGGGCCCCCAGAATGCCTCACTTTATTATTAAACTGTTTTTATTTCATTTTAAACTCTTTTTGGAGTTTTTTGGCCCTCAAATAGCATCTGCAGGGCCCCCTGGGGGGCCCCCCTCTGGGGGCCCCGTCTGGGGCCCCCAGCAAGCACTCCTGCTGGGGGCCCCCTGTACCCCCTCCTTTCAGCTCATTTGTTCTCTTTTATGATTTATATTAATTAATTAATTAATTAATTAAAATTTAAAAGGCTTTTAAGGAGTTATTTAATTGAAAATGGCAAAGGCGAGAGCAAAAGAAGCAGCAGCAAATAATTCCCCAAGACACCCGCAGCCGAAATAGAGGCTCTCAGCTGCAGCAACAGCTGCTGCTGCTGCAGTACATTTTGCTGCAGCTGCTGCAGCCGTGCTGCAGCAGCAGCAGCAGCTGCTGCAGCTGCTGCTGCGCGTGCATAAGGGTCCCCTTTATCTCCTTTTTTCTTTTTCATTATCTCCTTTTTGCTTCTTCCATCTCCTTTTATTATTTTCAATTTATTTTTCTCTTTTAATTAATTTTGTATTTTCTTTTTTGCTTCCAACTTCTCTTTTTTTCTCTTTTTAAATCTCCTTTTGCTTCCCTTTTCTTTTTATTTTATTCTTATTTCTTTTAGTCTTTCATTTTCTCCTTAAAGCCTCACAAAGCCCAAGACCACTGGTCTAGACCACTGGACCACTGGGGCCCCCGGGGCCCCAGGGGGCCCCACGGGGCCCCACGGGGCCCCAAGGGGCCCCAGGGGTCCCCAGGGGGCCTCAGAGGGCCCCAGAGGGCCCTACGGGGCCCCAGGGGGCCCCCAGGGGCCCCCAATGGCCCCCAGAAGTGGTTAATTTATATTTATTTTGTTTGTTGAATTAGTGAAATAGTTCAAATAAGTTGTATTTGTAAACTTCAATTGATTCTGATGCAATTCCAGAAAAAGTCATCTTTAACTTCGAGACCATGGGGCCCTCATGGTCCTTTCCAGTTCGCCTGCAGGGGCCCCCTCTAGGCCTTTTATTGGGGGCCCTAGGGGCCCCCTTTAGACCTTCTTTTGGGTACTAGGGGGCCCCCCAGCCCTTTATAGTGTGCCTCGGGGGCCCCCCAAGTCCTTTTGGTTGGCCCTCAAAGGCCTGAGGGGCCCCCCAGCTTCTGGGGCGTCTTGGGGCCCCTGGGGGCCCCCAGGGGCCCCTCTTGCTAATAGGGGCCCCCATACCTTGTAGGGGCCCCCACTGCCTCTGGGGGCCCCCAAAGCCCCTAGGGGCCCCCATAGTCTCTAGGGGCCCCTATTGCCTCTAGGGGCCCCCATAGACCCTAGGGGCCCCCAGGGGCCCTCACAGCCCGTAGGGGCCCCCCCTTGCCGCTGCTGCTCCTGGGGGCCCCTCTGTGGGCCTTTTGGTCTTTGGAACGTTTCAGAGAGTTCTTGAGAAGCTGCAGATTTAAAAGTGAAAACAATTTTAGATATTAAGCAGCTACCACCATTTGCTGCTGCTGGGGGGCCCCCTCAAGCTGCTGCTCCGGGGGGCCCCCTGTAGCTGCTGCAGCTGGGGGGCCCCTCTCGCTGCTGCAGCTGGGGGGCCCCTCCAGCTGCTGCAGCTGGGGGGCCCCCCAGCTGCTGCAGCTGGGAGGCCCCCTTGCTGCTGCTGAAAGAGGGAGGCCCCCCTCAGCTGTGGGGCCCCACTGGGGGCCCCCCAGCTGTCCTTGGGGGCCCCCCTCAGCTGTGGGGCCCCACTGGGGGCCCCACAGCAGCAGCAGGGGTTGCTGCTGCTGGCTAAAAAGCACCTGTGGCAGCGCAGCGCTGTGGGGCCCCACACTACGCTGCAGCAGCACAGCAGCAGGGGGCCCCCCTAGCCCCCGCGCGGGGCCCCTTTGGGGCCCCTTTGGGGCCCCTGGGGCCCCAGGGGGCCCCCCATGGGGCCCCTCGTGGGGCCCCTTGGGGGCCCCAGGGGACCCCGAGGCTCGGGGGGGCCCTTAACCCGGGAAAGACCCCCAACAAACCCAAAGCCAAACAGGCAGCAGCACAGCCCTGGGGGGCCCCCCTTTGAGGGGGGCCCCCAGGGGCTGTGGGGGCCCCCATGGGCTGTGGGGGCCCCCTGGGCTGTGGGGGCCCCCTGGGCTGTGGGGCCCCGGGGGCTTAAGGGGGCCCCCGGGGGTAGACCTGGGGCTCTGTGGGGCCCCGCACCTTACAGTAGCAGCAGCTGCAGCAGCAGCAGCCGCAGCAGCAGCAGCAGCTGCTGCTGCTGCTGCTTGGCCCCAGCCAGTGTGCCCCCGTAGGCTGGGGGGCCCCCAGGGGGGCCCCACAGTGGGGGCAAATCTGCAGCAAGCAATCGCAGGGCCTCTGAGGAACTCTAAGGCTGCTAGGATTTAAGGGTTTAGGGTTTAGGGTTTAGGGTTTAGGCGCTCAAACCCTCAGTCACTGCGAGGCTCCAGACTCTTCTGCTAGACAGCCTGCACGCTCTAAACCCTAACTACGCAACTGAATCTTGAACTCTGCTGCTGCTGCTGCTGCTGCTGCTGCTGCTGCTGTTTCTACTACGAGTGGCTGCTGCTGGTGCCCTGTGAGAGCAGCAGCGGCTAGAGTTCTAGCAGCCTGTGGCTGGGGTTGAGGCTTCGCTAGGGCTCTGCTGCTGCTGCTGCTGCTGCTGCTGCTGCTGCTGCTGCTGCTGCTTGCAAGGAAGGACTGCGGCTGGGAAGTATCGTTTTGAGCAGCGCTAAGGGCTAGGAAGGCGGGCAGCGGCAGCAGCAGCAGCAGCAGCAGCAGCAGCTAGTGTCGATTCTGTGCTGCCTCTGGAGCAGCAGCAGCAGCAGCAGCCAGCAGCTGCAACAACAGCTGCAGCAGCAGCAGCAGCAAACGAGTTGGAAATTTGAGATAACATTTTATATTTTGTCATTGAATTTGATTTTGAACTTCCATTTTTGTGCCTGCACGTTGTCCTTCCCCCCTGGGCAGGGAGCAGCAGCAGCAGCAGCAGCAGCAGCAGCAGCAGCAGACGGAGCTTTGCATGCTTCCGCACCATTGCATTGTCGCTTTTTGCTCCAGTTATATAAATATTTGACTAAGTTTTTGCTTTAGCTGCTGCTGCTGCTGCTGCAGCAGCGCGTGGCACCTGTGGCGGCAGCAGCAGCAGCTGGCGGGGCAGCACTCGAGAATGCAGAGGTGCTCGTTGTTGCTGCTGCCTGCTCTGCTGCTGCTGCTGCCGCCAGCAGCAGCAGCAGCAGCGCCAACAGCAGCAGCAGCAGTAGCAGCAGCAGTTCTGGCGGGATCCCCGGGACTCTGCATGCAGTGGGGAAGAGAAGAAACTTACACAGAGCAGGGGGGCGCAGATCTCGAAGATGACAGCAGCAGCAACAGCAGCAGCAGCAGACAGAAGCAGATTGTCTGGGGAGATTCTGCAATGGAAATGACAACACTGGAGTTTGGCGGCGAGTCAGCAGCAGAGGAGAGCGAGCAGCCTGCTGCAGCAGCAGCAGCAGCAGCAGCAGCGCAAGACGCAGCAGCGCACGCAGCAGCAGCAGCCACGGAGGCCTCAGCAGCAGCAGCAGCAGCAGCAGCAGCCCAAAGGGCAAACGCACAGATGTACCGCCGCAGAGTCACGCTGCAGCTGCTGCTGTCGCTGCAGGAGCTGCTGCTGATGCTGCTGCTGGGGTTGGAAGCAGCAGAAGGGGCTCGTGAGGGGCGGAAGCAGCAGCAGCGGCGGCGGAAAGATGTTGTTGAAGAAGACAGCTGGTCAGAAGGGAGCGAATCGGGCTAAGCTGCTGCTGCTGCTGCTGCTGCTGCTGCTGCTGCTGCTGCTGCAGCAGCGCAGGAGCCGTGTCGCGTCAGTAGGCCTTTGGAGGCACTCCAGCAACAGCTGCGGCTGAAGCAGCAGCAGCAGAATTAGCAGCAGCGCCTCAGTAGAAGCAGCAGCACGAGCAGCGGCTTCGCCAGAAGTAGCAACAGCAGCAGCAACAGCAGCAGCAGCAGCAGCAGCAGCAGCAGAGTGCTGCCATTTCTCAGCGGCGCTTGCTGAATTGATGAGCGCCGCGGGGCTAGAGTAAGGGAAGGATCAGCAGCAGCAGTAGCAGCAGCAGCAGCAGCAGCTGCTGCTGCTGCTGCGCGCAAAGCCATGGCTGCACCAGCACATTAGCAGCAGCAGCAGTAGCAGCAGCAGCAGCAGAACTGCAGCGGCAGCAGCAGCAGACCTGCTGCAGCAAGCTGCCGCTTCCGCTTCGGCTGAGTGTTTGGCCGTTGCTATTTCTAATTCTGCTGCTACCGTAGATGCAGCAGTAGCTGCAAGAAAGGTAATAACAGCAGCAGCAGCAGCAGCAGCAGCAGCAGCAGCAGCAGCGTTTACTGTGCCGTTTGGCTAACCAACTAATTATTTTTACAGCGCAAACTAGAGCAGACGCATATGGAGGGTGGTCTTGCTTTGTTGCTGCTGCTGCTGCTGCTGCAGTTGCTGCTTCTCTTGCTGCTCCTGCTGCTGTTCAGTTGCTTCTGCTGCAGCTGTTTCTGCTGCTGTTGTAGTTCCTCTTGGCACTGCTGCTGCTGCTGCTGCTGCTGCTGCTGCGTGCCGGGGCAGCGGCAGCCTGAGGCGTACGTACACCCCAGCGTGAATAGCGCACAATGTGCCCGCAGCAAAGCTGCGAGATAACGAGGAGCACAGCAGCAGCAGCAGCAGCTGCTGCTGCTGCTGCTCCCGTGCTGCTGCAGCTGCTGCTGCTTGCATGCTGTTGCTTCAGCACTGTAGAGTCGCCGAGTACTCATAACAGTTTGGGGCCGCCTGGGCGACGGCAAAGGCTCTAAGTTATTAAGCAGCAAAGTAACGGCGTTGCAGCAGCAGCTGCTGCTGCAGCACAGCAGCAGCAGCAGCAGTTTTGCTGCATGCTGCTGCCGCTGCTGCTGGCGAAGCCCCGCGTGTAGCGTAGCCTGCGAGTGTTTGTGTTGTTTGACTTATGTTTAAACACTTTTCTGTTGATTTAAAACATATTTTTGTTCATTTAATTCAAATTAATTGAACAAAGAAAGACCCATTTGCCCGTGCGGTCCTCCGGCTTCCTTGACGGCGTGGGAAGTGCCGCGGGTGAGTGCGTCGCCGCTCCTTCCTTTATTTTATTTCTTAATTTGATTCAATTTAATTTAATTTAATTTAATTTAATTTAATTTTACTTTATTTTCCTCCATTTCCACTTCAAACGGCGCATGCAGTTTTCCCCTGCAACGCAGATCCCCCTGAGCAGCTGCTGCGGCGCTGCAGCAGCTGCTCAGCTAGCCTGCTGCGCATGCGCAGCAGCAGCAGCAGCAGCAGCAGCAGCACGTAATGAGCTGCTGCTGGGGTTTGTATATCTCTAGGGTGTTCTAGGAAGCTGCTGCTGCCCCTCTGCACTCACGGGGGGCCCCCCTGGGGGCCCCCCAAGAGCTGCTGTTGGTGCAGCAGCAGAACAGGCAGCAGTGGGCTGTATGTACACCTCAGCTCTGATCACAGCAGCAGCAGCAGCAGCAGGAGCAGCAGCAGCAGCTCTGCCTTCTCGCGAAGTTATGCTGCAGTTGCTGAGATGTTTCCTTCGTTTCGCTTGTCTGTACACTGGGGCTCATGCTAGGGTTTAGGGTTTAGGGTTTAGGGTTTAGGGTTTAGGGTTTAGGGTTTGGGGTTTATATCTGTAAGCTGCTGGTGGGCTGTTGATATGCTCTTCTATGTCTTTGTTTGCTTTTTTGCTGCAGCACAATGAGCACCGCTTGCCTCCACAGAAGGGTAATACAAGCAGCAGCAGCACCGCAGCAGCAGCAGCAGCAGCAATAGCAGCAGCAGCAGCAGCAATTATGTCGTGGCTTTTGCTGCACTTGCGTTGTGCTGCTGCAGCTGCTGGCGGGCTTCGCAGCCAGGGGCCCCCGCATGCTGCAGGGGCCCCAGGGGCCCCTCCAGCCGACGGGGCCATGGAAGTTGCTGCAGCAGCAGCAGCGGCCGCTGCTGCTGCTGCTGCAGCAGCAGCAGCACGGCCAAACGCAGCTGCAACAGCACCAAAGGAAGCAGCAGCAACAGCAGCAAGGGGCCTCCTTTTGTCTGCAAAGCCTTCTGAGCTCGAAGCGATTTTTCAACTGTCCGTCTTAGGGTTTAGGGTTTAGGGTTTAGGGTTTAGGGTTTAGGGTTTAGGGTTTAAACTTAAAGGCCTATCATGCAGAGCTCAGGGCGTACTGCAATTGCCCGGGTGATCTATATTTCGAGTTGAGGCGAAAGGTCGAGGGTTTGTTCCCCAGGGTTTAGGGTTTAGGGTTTAGGGTTTAGGGTTTAGGGTTTAGGGTTTAGGGTTTAGGGTTTGCTGCGCAGCTTCAACTGGGGGCCACCTCGTGGTGGACTGCCCCGGCATGGGGGACTCCATAACAGAGGGGACTTTGCAGGAGTGGAAATACAGTAAACCCTAAACCCTAAACCCTAAACCCTAAACCCTAGCTTTTAGGGTTTGCATGCAGCGGGGCCCCGGGCTGGGCTTTGCCCGCCTTCGTTCACTGAGTTGCTGCTGCTGCATCGCTGCTGCTGCTGCTGCTGCTGTTGCTGTTGCGGCTGCTGCTTGCGTTGCCGTTCTGCTGCTGCTCTTGCTGCTGCTGCTGCTCTTGCTGCTGCTGCCACTCCCGGCGCTGCTGCTGCTGCCCTTGCTGCTGCTCCCACCGCTGCTGCTGCGCTGCTGCTGCTGCTGCTGCTGCTGCTGCTGCTGCTGCTCAGGTGTGGGGTCTTACGTGGCGGAGGGGGCGCTGCTGGCGGTGGTGGAAACAGACAAAGTTGCTGTTGAAATAAATGCTGCTGCTGCTGGCCGTCTTGCTGCAGTGCATGCGCAGCAAGGAGAAACTGTCTTCGTGGGGAAGCCTCTTTACGAACTCGACACCAGTGAGACCTGCTGCTGCTGCTGCTGCTGCTAGTGCTGCTGCTGCTAGTGCTGCTGCTGCTGCTAGTGCTGCTGCTGCTGCTAGTGCTGCTGCTGCTGCTAGTGCTGCTGCTGCTAGTGCTGCTACTGCTAGTGCTGCTGCTGCTGCTGCTAGTGCTGCTGCTGCTGCTTCTACTGCTGCTGGTGCCATTTTTGATGCTGCTGCTGCTGCTGTTGTTTGTGCTTCTGCTGTTCCTGCTGCTGCTAGTGCTGCCGCTGCTGCTGCTGCTAGTGCTCTACTTTTCGCGTTGCTGCTAATGCTGCTGCTGTTGGTAGTGCTGCTGCTCTTGCTGCTGTTCCAGCTTTGCTGCTGCTTCAGCTGTCAATGCTGCTGCTGCTGCTGAAGTAGTTGTTAGTGCTGCTGCTGGTAATGCTGTTCTAGTTTTCGAAGCAGCTGCTGCAGGTGTTGCTGCTGCTGCTGCTGCTGCTGCTGCTGCTGCTGCTGACAAATTGGGGAGCAGAGGGTGCAGCAAATAAAGTGGTCAAGTAGCGGCCTGTGAATATATAGCTGCAGCAAATAATTAGTAAATAAAAAATAATATAAATAAACAAAAAGTAAATAAAATAAAATGAAATATTTTTATTATTAAATGTTAATTGCAAATAAAAATAAAAAGAGGCTGGAATTGAAATGAGCAGCAGCTTGTTTTTCTTTTGCTGATTTGTGCTGCAGCAGCAGAACCGCCTGCTGGTGCTGCTGCAGACACGGAGAAGCAGCCACCCCCAGAAGCTGCTGCTGCTGCTCCTGCTGCTGCTGCTCCTGCTCCTGCTGCTGCGTCTGCCCCTGCTGCTCCTGCTGCTGCTGCCCCTGCTGCAGCGCCTGCTGCTGCAGCGGCCGATGAGGCGCGCGCCCCAAGCACGCCCCCCCCTGCAGCAGACGCTGCTGCTGCTGCTGCTTCTGCTGCTGCTGCTGCTGCTGCTGCTGCTGGAGGCCTCGGTCTAGACCGCGTAGAGAGACGCGTAAGGCAGCAGGAAGCTCGTTGTCTTTTCTCATTATTGATTTATTTATTTAAGTTCATTTATTTATTTAAATTTATTTATTTATTTAAATTTATCTATTTATTTAAATTTGTTGTTTTAAATTACTTTTCCTCTTATTCGTTATTTCATTATTTGCATTATTGCTGCTGCTGCTGCTGCGCTGTGGATTTGCTGCTTCTCCGCATTTGCTGCTTTCTGCTGCTCCCCTGTTTTTGCTGCTTCGCTTCTTTTTAATTAATTAATTTATTTATTTGTTTATTTTTTATTTATCATTTGTTATTTATTTATCTATTATTTATTTTTTCTTCCTCAGTTTCACTTTGCCTTTTCTTCAGTTCGTTTGTTCTGTCTTGGTCTTTATTTGCTGCCAACTTGCCATTATTTGTTTATTATTATTTAAACTTCATTTATTTATTTATTTATTTATTTATTTGTTTGTTTGTTTGTTTGTTTATTTATTAATTATCTTTTATTTATTTTTTGTGTGTCTCATTAATTTGCTGCTGTTCGTTTGCGCCTTTCTGTGTCTTTTCTCGTCTTTTGCTCGTTTTGATTTATTTGTTTTTGTTTGTTTGTCTAAATTAAATTAAATTAAATTAAATTAAATTAAATTAAATTAAATAATTCATTTAATTCTTTTCCATTTTGCTGCAGCAACAGCTTGCTGCTGCATGCAGCAGCCTGCAGCAGCTTGCTGCAGCAGATGACCTTTGCTGCAGCTCCGCCGCTTGTTTTCTTTCTTTTTATTCTTTTGTTTGTCTCGATTAAATTTAATTCTTTTTTAATTCTTTTTTATTCTTTTTTAATTTTTAATTCCTTTTTTAATTCTTTTTTAATTCTTTTTAATTCCTTTTTATTTCTTTCAGGTGCCCCTCTCGCGGCTGCGGCAGCGAGTTGCTGCTCGCCTTAAAGACGCCCAAAACACTGCAGCAATGCTCACCACCTTCAATGAGGTATTTGCTGCTGCTGCTGCTGCTGTTGCTGCTGCTGCTGTTTCTTCAGCTGCTGCTGCTGTTTCAGCTGCTGCTGTTTCTTCAGCTGCTGCTGCTGTTTCGGTGTTTGGGGCTGCAGCTTCTGCTGCTTCTGTTTCTGCCGAAGTTGCTTACGCTGCTGCTGCTTTTGTTGCTGCTGATGCTGTTGCTGCTGTTTGCGTTTTTGCTGCTGCTGCTGCCTCTGGCTGCTAGTTCCCCTGCAATTGCTGCTGCTCTCTCTTCTGCGGCTGCTGCACTTTGTGCTGCTGCTGCTCTTTCTGCTGCTGCTGCTGCTATTTACGCTCCTGTTGCTGCATATAAGGCTTTCTCCATTTCCATTTCTGCTGCTACTGCCTGTGCTGCTGCTGCTGCTGCTGCTGCTGCTGCACAGTGCGACATGGGGGCCCTGATGGCGCTGCGTAATGAATTGAATGAAGACTTCCAGAAGGTCCACGGAGTGAAAATGGGTAAGTTTTTTATTTGTTTATTTTGTCATTTTAAATGAAAAAATAAACAAATAATAATGTTTTTCTGATTTTTTGCTGCTGCTGCTTCTTTTTTCTCTTTTTTACCTTTTGCTGCTGCTGCTGCTTCTGCTGCTGTCTTTAGGTTTCGTTTCCGCCTTCATGCTCGCCTCGGCCCTCTCGCTCAAGAAGTTCCCAGCCATCAACGCAAGTGAGTCCAGCAGCAGCAGCAGCAACAGCAGCAGCAGCAGCAGCAGCAGCAGCAGCAGCAAGAGCGGAGAAAGTCGCCGTTGGGCTTGTGGGAGCTCGTTTGAAGCCGCGTTTTTCCGCGTTTGTGATGCTTTGAATAAAAACGAAGAATTTATTTTATTTAATGGACTAAAATGGATTAAAATG